GACCCGTTAAATAACCAATATATGAACCCTAAGTTAGATATACAAACATAAGACATAATATCCTCCAGGAGGGGTCATATAACTCTGCGGCGGTGGTGACATCTGGTATGGGAAAGGTGGTGGCGGCATATGATATGGCTGCAGAACCATATGAAACAGCTGCGGAATGTACATCGGTGTAGATGGTGGCTGCTATGAAGGTTCCGGTACTGCAGCTAAGGATGAAATGGAAGCACCTACTCTCCATCCACGAGTCAGGGATGATGAGGTTATGACGGTGGACGTCTCTGTCGATGTCGATGAATTCTCCCGCCTCGTGTATCCTCAGAAAGTAGAAACGATTTTTCATTCCTATTGAACCACTCGTAATAACCATCTGCAATAGTCAAATGGTCCATATAAATGGGTTCTCTACAAGGAATGCACCCACGTCGATCCTCCCATATCATGACCCACTCATAAAGCTTCAGTAGCCAGTCCACATCTTTTTTTCCTTGTCGATCGGTGCTATCTAACTCGTCGAGATTTTGAGGTGCTTTCGGAATTGATTGTACAAAACCAAATTACCGGAGCACGTGATTAGTGGGATGTTACTCAACAATAGCATAACAGATCAGAGGGTCGTGTGGGATGCAAATCCTTGTCTCTTCGGTGCAATAAGGAGCCCATTCAAACTAAAACAAATATATATAATTCTTATCAAAATAATCTAATTATATAACAATAATTAAAAATAGATTTTTTATTTTAATACATACCTATGTGCTAGCCTTCTGAGCAATGACTAGCCTAATTAATTATAATTCATCAGGTAAATCCCGATGATATTTCCTTGCAGTAGACCGCCTATTCAATGAAATAATTTTTATTATATACTAGCTAAAATGATTAATATACGAAATCAGTATTGTAATTACCTCAATAATAGCGGGAAGACCAACGGGTTCTTCACAACCGAATATAAAAAGAGCATGTGATACCACGCCCAAGACTATAGCAGAAGGAGACATCCGCCGATAGCATTTTTCCTATAGTCAGTAGCTCGACACATTTCCCTATAGAGGAATGCCAAAACTGCCGTGCCCCAACTCAATGTGCCAGCTAGATGAAAATCGACGAGATGCCGCAACCACATACAATGAACTTGGTTACGCGATTTGTCCAGCATCAAGAGCCCTCCTATCAGCTGTAGTATGCATGCATGTGCATACATTTTTACCTACTCCTCCGAGGCGCCGCTACTAAAATGCTTGAAAGTTTCATCCAACCAATTTAACGGAATCCGACCACCGTTAAAATTTGGCGGGACACCTCCAAGATACTCCTAGCACAATGAATTACAGTCATCGTGCGCCACCCTAGAAAGCACATCTCCATCTGCCGGAAGCCTCAAGTGCATGGAAACATCCTCTAGCGTAATCATGCACTCTCCACGCAGAAGATGGAATGTGTGTGTCTTCGGTCTCCACTGCTCAACCAATGCATAAATCAGGTTGGATTCTATGTTACAGTGCCCTTCGTATCTAGCTCTAGCTATGTAACCAAATCCAACCTCAACTAAATACGACCAGACACAGGTTGATATCTCTAACTTAAGATTGCGGATAAAGGGATCTAATATATGATCTCTCTCCTAATTTAATAAATATTATATAAATTAATATATAAACTAATACTAAAAAATAAATAAATAAATAATTTATTACCAATAATTAAATTAAAATATATTTAAAAATGTTATCGTATCTGTAAAATGTCTCGAGATATGATGTCCATCTAAACGAAGCAGATCACCTTCCATTTTATAACTGCAAAAAATAATAAATAATAAATATAATATAATTTAATAAAATACTAAAATATTAATTTATTATAATATAGTATAATATATTACCTTCTAAATATAATTTAATCGAGTTTGAGCTTAAAGAGGGTTTGAGTTTTGATATGATTTCAGAGGATTTGAGAGGATTTGGTGTGTTTGAAAGAATAGAGGATGGGGTATTTATAGGGTTGGGGATAGGTTTGGGCGGATGGTGGTCATTAATTGGGGGAGTGTGAATGGTTAAAATTAAATGCATCCGCGCCTTACGCTGATGTGGCGCTAGCTGAGGTAAGGCGCGGATCATCCTTTATGCAAAAGGTGCTAGATCGGTAAAATTTTCTGAAACTGTGCATGACAAGTAATTAAAACATGTCATGGTGATTTTTGTATAAAAACACCTAAATATACTATTTTGCCTTTATATTTATTTGTCCTTGTAGCCTATAGATAGCGAATTATGATCCTAGGACTAAAACCAACCTTAAGAGTTAATATATAAGTCACCATACATAATTAGAGAAGAGATCATGAATTTTTCTTTCTCTATCTTCCTCTTTACATCGTATTTCACCTTCTTCAGCTCATCAAAACAATTGAACGCAACTTTTCTCCCAAATTAAAAGAGGGTGAGGGGAACTACAGGGTTTGTCATTTTCGTTTTAATTTTGTATATTTTTCCTAACTAAATTTAAAAAACATAATATTTGGTCACTTTAAATTTTAATTAATTAAGACATGCTTTTATAGGATTGTTGAAGTGACATAGTGAATATATAAAATTAAAAAAGAATAAACTACACAAATGTTCGCTAATATTTAGTTAAGTTCTTGTTTTTCCCACTAAAGTTTTACAAGTAGCAAATTTTAATTTACCCAAAACAAGTTTGAGTTTTTTTATAAACTCAAAATAGTTTAGGGATAAAGTTTTAATTTACCCATTTCATTAATATGCTTTTCTTCCGTCGGTAAAACAAACTCCTCCTCCGGAACCATTACCCTTCTCCAAGATAGCTTCCGCTTCCTTCAACTTTACCCCGATTTCCCCTCATTTCCATCGTTAACAAACTCATGAATCTCCTTTTCAATCGATATCACAGTCAACCCATCCAGATCACCATCCAAGATGTCAGATTTTCCCTTTTTTAAACTCTTTGTAAATGCCCTCAAAGCTTCCATAGGTCAAACCCCAATAAGCAATGGATTTTTTCCACTAATTTTAGCCATGACTTCACCCATTCTCTCACAATTCTCATCAACCCCATCTTCTTGTACGGGTAACACCAAGTTACAGTCGACTCGACGAGAAACAGAATTTGCTATGTTACTGAGAAATACCGGGGGGGGGGGAACGGGCATGTAAAAATCACTCATCTTCTCCATCGCATCTAACCGTTTGGGTGCTGTAGATTCTTATCTTCCACTGGAACAGATTCTTATGTTTTCCTCGCATAGAGAGAATGGGCATTCATTCACCCTATCAAATGATGAGTTAGTTATCGCAAATACCAAAACATTTAAAGTATATGAAAATAGAGCATCGAGTTGGAATAATGTCGACAGATAAAATTTTAGGATTTAAAAACATATTCTTATATGGTGGATATGTTGGCCGGTGCAAGTAGATTAGAGGAAGCAGAGACGCTGATGGGTTGCAGTCCGGAAAGGCCAGGATTGTAAATGCTACAGAGCTTGTCGTGGGCTTGCAGTGAGAAAATACTACCAATCAATTCAGGAGGGCCAGGATTGAAGTGCTGCGACAGTACTACTTTAAAACCTCAAATCAGTCTTAAAATCTTGAGCGATTTCTCTCACCAGCGACGGTGAGAAGATTAACGGGCAAGTGGAGTTGAAAGAAAAGCATATTAAAGAGATTGGTAAACTAAAATTTTATCTGTTACTTTTAATTTTACTTTTAAAATTTGTTACTTTTTAAATTTTTGTTGGGAAAACAAAAACATAACTAAATATTACTGACAATTTGTGTAGTTTATCATTTTAATTTTATATATTCATTTGCCATGTCAGCAAAATGTTATAAGTCTAATCACAATTAACTTTTAGTGACCACAGTTTAATTAAATAAAAATAAAAATGATCAAATATTATATTTTTAAATTTATTGAAGAAAAATATACAAAATCAAAATGAAAATGACAAATTCTATAGTTTATCCTTAAAAAGAGTAAACCGCTAAAAGTCGTCACAACCATAATTTTCCCAACAATTGATGTGGTGAACGTGAAACCTCTTTCATCAAAGACTATTGATTTGCCTCTACGTTTCTCTCCATGCTTTTTACTCTCCTCACTATTCCCTCTTTGATCTTGTAAAGAATTTTATTTTATGAAAATAATTCACAAGAATTTCGCAGAAAAAATTCTGATAAAAATAAAAAAACAAAGGGAAAAAAATAAAATTTGAAATTTTACAATAATTTTTTCCTTAAATAGTCGAAGATCATAATTTTATCACCTTATTGATGAAGAAAAGAGATTGTGATTATGTTTAATAGTTCATCTCTTTTGATTCGGATCAAAATTTGAAAACATTGATTTTGTGAAAGAGACTGAGATTAAATGATGTGAAAAAAGGTGATGGACAATGAGATGAGTTGAGAGAGAAAGAATCAGATTCTTTCTCTAGCCTTGTATGATGATTTATATATAGATTTTTAGTGTAAGTGTTAGACCTAGAGTGATGATAACTATATGTAGGTTGAAAGAGTAAATAGATCTAGATAATCATATAGGTCTGTAAATAGTTATGTTCGATATACTATAATTGGACCGAAGATATAAAACTACAACTTCTTTTAGTACCCCCATAAGAGATATAACACACCTAAAAACGACCCCCGTCAAACATATGGAAGGACATTATTTGGAATATTGACCTTCACTACATACAAGCAAATAGCCATAGTAATTGTCAATGCAATTTACTAAACCTAAAGCATGTTCTATTTGGAGCATTGACTTTCACTACAAACATGCAAACAACCCCAGACATTTTCATTGACGATCATACCAATACACTTACAAAGCGAAGATCAAATTTCATTCATTTTTGTGTCTGACAAATATACTTCAAAGAAGAATAATACAAGCTGCATAAAATGACAGATCCACGTTTTAGTGTTCATCCTGTCCGAATGCCTGAATTTAGAGTATATTCATCAGTTATTCATACTCTCACAATTCCCATTAATCTTCCCATGAGGTTGAGTTCTACTTCTAGGGCCCGAACAACAAAGTGAAGGCGCAACCAAGCTAATAAAGTCACGCTCTTCATCTTCCCAAACCAGACCTTCTTTCGGTAAACCCTTGGTGAAACCATAATAAATTACACAAGCGAAACAAGGTCCAATCCAAAAGATCCAATGGCCATCCCATAAGGAACCACCTAGCAATAACGATGGCCCTAAACACATAGCGGGATTAAGCCCCACGCCCGCACAGCCTACCTTCCCGGTCACAGTGATCGACACAAAAACTTCCAGTGCCATGGCACCTGCAACAACTGCACAAACCATCGACAACCCTAGCTCTTTGCTTCTTCTCTTGTCGAACGCTATTGACACACCAACAAAAAGCACCACAAAAGTACAAAAGAATTCCAATATCAATGCCGTTCCAGGGCTAACCCCATCGATAGTGCAGCCTCCAAAGAAATACTTTTTGGCTGCCTCGTGGTTTATTACACTGCTGAGTAGGAGAAACCCTGTGATTGAACCTACACACTGAGCCGAGATATAGGTAAATGCCCGTGCAGGAGATATGAATCCCTTGAGTGCAGCAATGAAAGTAAAAACTGGACTCGTGTCCACCTGAAATAGCGACGATCTAAAATTATTTTTAAGAGTGGATAATTATTAATTACATAAAATTTTTGTTTGACTGTAGCTACACATAAAAATTTCAAGTAGACACTAATAAATAAAATTAATGATTAATCAAATCAAATTTTAAGGTGAACCCTTGTTGTATTCGCCGCTGACCTGAAAGGGGGACTGTTACCATGAGAAAGAGAAAGACGATAACGAAGACCGCGACTGGGACAAGAAGCTTGGGATTAGCGTCGTGCGAGTCCAAGCAGGCGAAAATGGATGCGGTTAATGTGAATAATAAGCATGCAGTCGCCACTAACTCTGTCAGTGCTGCCTTCCATATCTAAAAAAATGGACGAGGGAAACATTAGATTATTAAATCCCTTTTCTTTTTCTTGTTTAACTATTTGTATTCAATTTATTGAAGTATTCTAGATTGAATTTTATAAAGGTGCGTTGTGAATTGATGCTCTCAACTCAATTTGTTATATTAACAAATGCCAAGATTTCAACTCATGACTTTATTTAAGGGATCCAATGTAAGAATATAAATAGTTGTCTTTATAGGAATAATAGTCATAATATAGAGGTAGAAGTATTGTTTGAAACCTATTCAAAACCTCTATTTCATAATCGCAATACTCGCAATGACCGCAATACCACTAATTATTGTCTTAATCACGCAACTTAACCAAAAATAGAACCGCAACCATAATTAAAGCTCTGATCCATTTCTTTATCCCATCAAACCAATTTGGGGTAGGTAAAAAATCTTTTCTTTTGATATTGAATGAAGAATATGAATTACCTCAGGTGAGGAAAACTCATGAGCACCAATGCAAGCAAAGAATTTTGTTTTTAGAGATCTCCTTTCTTTCGGGTTCGTTGTCTCGTGATTTTGAGCTGAACTAGTCGGAAGATTAAGATCAGATTGACTAGAGATAATCGAATCCATGACTTGAATAATATTAGAGAATATTTACATGAGAGAACGCTCTCTACTTGAAGGAACCATTAATCTTCAATCCATTCTATATATATGTATACAGGAGTGAAAGAACACTCGTGAGAGAGAGAGAGAGAGTTGGAGGTAATAGCATGTACGTACCAGGGTTTTAAATAGCTGTCCGTGCCCGCGAAATAGTAGAAGCGTTGCCTTCTTATATACCCGTTATACTCGCAATAACGTTTGTTATGACCGTAATCGCGATAAATGAGACATAATCAAAAACGCGACCGCGACCACAATTTGTAATCTTACAAGAAATGAGCCAACAGAAAAGCTGTCGAGAGTTGACGTTTGAGAAGAATACTAATAGTGATTTGGATTAGGGAAAAGACCAAAAGCAAAGCACCAAAGAAAGTAATAATGGGAGCATATCTTCTCTAATATGCTTCTTGTTGAGTGTGCAGAAAGTTAAAACAGAGGAAGTCGAAAATCTTTCGAATATCCATTTCAGAAAAATGAAATGTCGTTAACTTTGAAGACGATGCTTAATGATTATACTCCCGGTTTACAGTGTACGAATGTTTGGAAATTGTCAAATAATTATATCAGTAAACAGTAATCAATTCCAGCTAGTTATCCTTTAAAACAATTACCTAGAAACTCCATATTACATTATAACAACTGTTCATCACACGAACACAACCTTAATTATTACGCATATGCAAGGCAAACACATGCATAGATGGAACATGAACTTATTTTTCCAACAAGAAGAATCATAGTAAATAATTTTCTAGTGTTCATGCATATGTTTAAAACAAACATATTTATAAATATTATATCAACTATCAGGGGAAAATGTACATTGCACACCCATTATTTTAAGAAAAATGTTAAATTTAGTTTAATTTGTAAATAGGAATAGAAAAAAATAAGAAAAATTGTATACCCAAATTTTTTTAGAATAGGGTATTAAAATTTTGGACCCTTATTTTTTAATTTCTAGATCCGCCACTATCAACTATTATAAGATAATATTATGTATAATGATCACACAATAAAATAAAGACTTAGTTATAAAATTAGTGTCCAAACTATATACTTTTCCCAAATAAGTACTCAAACTTTTTTTTTAAAATATTTAGGTGCCTAACGTTACAAATGTTACCACTATAGGTGTCTGCACCGTAATGACAGTTAAATTCCACCATTAAGTGACACGTGTCATGTTCTAGTAATTTTAAAATTTTTATTTAAAATTAAAAAGTAAAATTATATATTTAAAAAAACCCAAAAATCTTGAAAAACTTTTAAAAAAATTCAAAACTTTGAAAACTCCAACTTCAATCCTTAAACCCACATCGACTAACATCGTTTGACGTCGATCAAACCTCCACCATAACCTCCACCCTACGACAAGTCAAACCCGACCATAAATGTCATTTCTCCGACGAAGGAAACAACGAAATATTGACCCAAAACTATGTCTCTGGCAAACTAAAACCCCAAGTTTACGATACTCAGGCGATCCAACGACACACACGACACTACAAGAATTAAGATTTTTAGTAACCATTTAATCATGACACTATAAAATTTCATCACATAAAGTATGTTATTTATGACGAAAATTATATTTGTCACTTTTGAAATGAGTAATTGTGACTTATTTTTATTTTGTCACTATTTAGATAATAATTGTGACAACTTGGAAATTCATCACAAGTAAAAGCAAGTTGTCATTATCAATTGGTCATTAATAGAATGGTCCAATTGGCGCCAACTTATTTTTCGTGGGAAAAATTGTAATAGTGACAATATATTATATAGTCACTGTTACTATTCATAATTGTGATGAAAATATTTTGTCACTAGTCTTAGTTGGTGACTTGTGACGTTAATTGTTTTTGTCACTAGTCTTAGTTGGTGATTTATAACGACAATAATTTTTATCACTATTTGTAACACCCCAACCCATACCCGATCCGAATACGAGTCTGAGACGTCACATCGACTTTTCAAAACATTTACTTGTACAAAATAGTGAATAATTTTAAACTTTTACTAAATACAACTGAATAATTTGCATAAAATATAATCATATGATTTTACAAAACCAATTAGAGAATAACATATTCAAATCTTTATTTACATGCCAACCACAATTAGTATTACAAAATACATACTATTCATTTCTCTTCTGATCTGACCTTCAGTAAGGAGAAACTAACTTGTCTTGCTTTTCATCGCTCCATAAGCTCGTCCAAACCTACTTGTGAAACACTCACACGCTAAGTCTTTGACTTAGTGAGACATATAAAACATATAATATAAACTCTTATTTATAACGATGCATGTACAATTGATACTATCATATCATACAAAACATATAATATTTCATATAATTAAATATATTCATATACGTAACTCATCATTTCCATCCTTACCTTATTCCATTATCATTTAAATCTCATAGTCATTCTTAATTAAACAATACACACAACCACTTATATTCTATCATGCAACAATTATCCACCTGCACATATATTATCATTCACAAAGAATCACAAATAGCATCATCTAATCCTTATAACATGTCACACATACACATATTACATACAATATATTTATATTATTGCTTTATTAGCCCATGTATACTTTTGAGAACTTAAGGTATGTGAGTACATTGAGGTTGTGCACAAATGCTGTCACCACAACTCGTATAAATTACACCGAAGTGCCACGTAGAATTTACACCAAAGTGTTGCATAGAATTGCACCTTAGCGCCTTATAAGATTATCTATAAGGACCACATAGAAATTCCTTAAGAATCATATACATATACCAATAATCAAGTAGGTGTCTCAAAAGACCTCATACATTCTCCAAAGAATACATATACGTCCCGAAGGACCACGTAGAATTGTCTCGAATGACCGCGTAGACCCTCTACTCTTGGCATGCCAACTATACCTCTAACTCTCATGACAAATAACATGGTCATTATTCTTTATATCATTTCATATATTCACATAAACACACAGTTCACTTACACGTAGAACATTCCATATGAGTCACATTCGCATGTCACATGGCTTATATCTTGTTCTTATGTCCTTTCATAGACATATATTCACATGTTCGCATAATCACATAGCTTATATTCTTTCTCACGTAGTCACATAGGTCCATGTCATATAACATATATCACATAACACATATCTTGTCACATATACCTTCTCTCATGAGATGTCATCACATAGCTTATGTCACATAAATTGTATTACATATACATATAATCACGTAGATTACTTTTACCTAGCTTCTATAAACTTTTCATGTCATTTCACATTTTTTGTATCTTATTCTTATGACTTCTCATAGACATATTTAGTAGTTTATAAACTTGCATTCACATGATTTATAATCTTCTTCTCATAATCAAATATATAATGCTTAATAACATATATATCATATAAATATATACTAACTTATATCATTTCATATAATTGGACTTATATTAACAAAATATGATAATTTATTATTGAATTATGCTTCGTTATAACAAATTTAAGGAACGAAACGTTTTTATGAATAGTACTATATGGTATGAATAGTAGTATACGGTATGAACAGTACCCTGAACAGTGCTACAATGTACCGATGCACTGCTATAGTACTGCTATAGTAACTTCAACTCAACTTATATAAAACTCATAAAAAATTAAGCTTTCATTTAAACACATAAATTTTACCATATAACTTATCTTATATATTTATAAAATCACTTATGTTTATACCTCCTAACTTAAATATTGTTCTAATAGAGTTTCATAACCTTTCTCGTGTAATCACTTATACCATATAGTATAAATTATACTTGGTCATATTATATTCTCATGTTCATTCATTCCTTATGCCTTTATCACATAATTTATTTCATATTCTTATACAATCATATAGATCATTTGTATTATTTTACATGACTTATCACACTAACATATACTTATGCACACATATAAATCATAACAATCATAGGCTTTTGCTTATGGAATCATGCATTTAAACATGGGAATGAGACTTATCATAAATCTTACCCAATGACATATACAACATCTATATATAATGTTATGCATGCATTACAAATCAAATAACATTTTAGGAGTCATTTCTTACCATAGTAACTCTGTCACTGGCTCATCGCAAGCCAATGTTTGTTCTATAACATAAGTACAAGTTAAATTGCACTGACCTTAGCCTTGCTTACTTTGAGTCGATCCTAATTCTTTGATCGTTTCAGAACATAATTATGTTAAATATCTACATAATCACACATATAATATACATATTAACATTCCACTTGGCATACTCTAATCTTTCATTTCTTAAACTAAAATAAAGATTTATTTCCATTTTTCCTTTGTAGTGCATCGATACACACTATAGTGTATCGATGCACTCATGGCATTCAATGTTTTCATTTTAAAGGGTGCATCGATACACACTGGATAATTTCTGGAAATTTATCCTTGATGCATCGGTACATGTTGAATGTGTACCGATGCACACTAGCCCATAATTGTATTTTAAGCCCGAAAATTCATCATTTTCAGCTTAAATTCTTCATGTTTCATTCCCTTTTCTATTCTTAACTCAAGTACACATACTTAAACTAATTTCTACTCATTCAATACATCCTTAACCTCAAATTCCATCTTTCATATGGAAATCAATAATCATACCAAATTTTCAAGATGCTCTAAATCCAATTCTATCACTTCATATCTCTTAATTAAGTTGATGACAAGTCAAATTTAGTTCCAAATTCAACTTATCAACTTTTTTCCAGAAATTCTCTTAAAAACCCATTCTCTTTAATCTTTCATAACTTACAAATCTTTGAGTTTCTATGAACTTTTTCATCTCCATCATGTTTCCTAAGCCTTCCTTAACCAAAACCATACTTAAATTTTAAGGATTAAGCAAAATAAATCAAACTCACCTT